GGCATGTTGGCACACACCAGTAATCCCAACACCTGGGAAGCTGAGGCAAGAGGATCACTGCAAGTTCGAGGCCAGCCTTGCCTCCATAGTGAGTTCAAAACCAGCCTGAACTACATAGCGAGACCCTGTCTCAAAAAAAAAAAGTAGCCAGGGATTTAGCTCGGTTCCGCCACCTGCCTTGCGAGCGCAAAGACCCGAGTTCAATCCCCAGTACCAAAAAAAAAAAAAAAAAAGTTGAAAAGAATCCAAATGTCTATCTGAAATACAAAGGATAGTATTAGTCATATAATGAAATACTCAGCAATCATGAAAAACAATTTCAGGGACTGTGTCTAGTGATAGAGTCCCATTCCCAGCACTGCCAGAAAAACTAAACTTTCTATGTGTATTGGGCATGCACCTTGCCAACAAAATGTAGGGCTAAGGGAACTAAACAAATATTCCATATGATTTTGTGAGTGTGAAATTTAAAAAAAAAACTAATCTTTGGTGCTAGAAGTCAGAATACAGGTGTTTTATGAGATGAAAGGGGGAATTGCTGACTGGCAAAGCAATTAGGAAAACTTCTGAGACATTAGAAATATTTTGTATATCTGAGTGGTGGTTGTGTAATTATTTTAAAAGTTGTCCTTTGCTCTTAAGGTATGTGTCTGGGACTGGGGTTTTAGCTCAGTGGTTCCACCGCCTGCTTTACAAGTGCAAGGTCCCGAGTTGGATCCCCGGTACCAAAAAAAAGAGATATGTGTCTGTACACACCTATAATCTCAGCAGTTTGGGAGACCAAAGCAGAAAAATTGCAAGTACACAAGTCCCTCTTAAACATCAATATTACATGACTAGTCAAGTAATGAGTCCTATAATAAAACAATACCAGGGCCAGGGACTTAGCTCAGTGGTCCCACCACCTGCCTTGAAAGCGCAAGGTCCCAAGTTCGATCCCCAGTACCAAAAAAAATCCAAAAAAAAATAGCAAGAGAATAAATTTCATGAAAAATGGGTTTATAAGTCACACTTGCCTTTTATGGTAAGTGCAACTTTGTAGGATATGTTTCATTATACTTTTTTCAGTTATATTTTTTATTAACATACAGTAATTCTACATATTTATGGGATACAGAATTAAGTGTAAAATAACAAAAACGTTGAAGCCCTGAGAGAAACACAAGCAGACCAACTTAGTTGCAGGAAGACATAAAAAACAACTAGATTTATAGTGGATATAGCTGGGAATGTAGCTTAGTGGTACCACTCCTTCCTGGCAAGCACAGGGTTTTGAGTTCAATCCCTGGTACCAGGGGGAAAAAATAAAAATGGGTCTACTCCATACTTAATGGACTTTTGGACACATCATCTAACTTCTAGGTCTTAGTTTCCCCTGCGATAAATTGAAGGATTTAGACTGATGTGTAGCCTCTCCCCATTTTGAATTTTATTTGAGGGGCTAGGGTATAGCTCAGTGGTAGAGTGCATGCCTACCTAGCATGCATGAGCCCCTAGGTTTGGTCCCCAGCATTTAAAAACAAAAAAGTAACACTTGTTGTGTTTTGTGTTTTTGAGACACTGAAGGGTGAACCCAGCCTTCTCACTAAGCCATATCCCCCAGCTTTTAAAAAATAATTTAATTCAAGACGGTCTGGCTTCATTACCTGGGCTGGATTCAAATTTAGGATTCCTTAGGTCAGCCTCCCAGAGCACTGGGATTGCAGGTGTGTGGCACCACACCTGACTAGGCTCTATCCTTACTTAAAACTCTAATTAGGAAAAATTAAATAGTTGAAGTATAAACAAAAGAAATATTGCTTTTATGCTTGCAACAAAACTAAATAAAAAACCAGGCATGGTGGTGGACACATGTAATTCCAGCACTTGGGAGGCTGAGGCAGGCAGATCACTGCAAGTTCTGGACCAGCCTGGGCTACATAGCAAGGCCCTGTCTCAAAAAACTAAAACTAAATTAAAAATGCTTTCAGAATTAAATTATGTCTTGAGCAGTATAGTTAATGGCTCATTTTCTATAATTATATCTAGAAGCTGGGAATCTAGCTCAGTGGTAGTGTACTTGCCTGGCACGCAGGGGGCCTTCAGTTCAATTCACAGCACACACACCACAGACAAATATATATAGCCCCTAAGTGTGGATGAGTTCACAAAAGTAAACTACCTTTGGGCTTTTATTTCTCCCGTATTAATTGTAATGAACACAATGTTTTGCTTGTACTTCTGCTATTTATTGAGTCTAGTTTGTCCTCAGGGTGATACACAGAGAAAGTTTTATTCCAGATTGCATGTTCTATGCATGAATGTATACTTTCCGTTTTGTTTGGAATGCTATTTTTTACTAATGGAATAATTCTAAACTAGGAAAAATTTTCAATAGGAGAATGTAACTCAGTGGTAGAGTGCTTGCCTAGTCAGTGCAAAGTCCTGAGTTCGGTACCCAGTACTACCAAAAAATAAAAGATAAATCAGGAAAGAAACATGCTCTTTAATATAGTAAGTTGTTTTTGGTTTTTTAAAATTTTTTTAATTTTTTTGCTACCAGGGATCGAACTCAGGTCCTTGCGCTTGAGAAGCAGGCAACAGAACCACTGAGCTAAATTCCCGGCCAATCGTTTATTTAGATTTACTCAAGATTTGCCAGCATGTCATCCTGAAAAATGAATGCAATCCTTTTGTTGTGTGTTGAGTTTCCTTTTACTTATAAAATAAATGAATCTGAAAATCAGACAGTTGCAGAGAGTTGATCTCAATTTAGTAATGAATGTAGATATTGTTAGTGATAGTAGTATTATGAGAGGCTTTGGGAGCAGTTAGAGGAGGCCTTTGGCCTCTTGCTGATGACAACAGCTATTTTTGAATAGAGTTGAAAATGTTCTATACCATAGGGTCCTGTTTCTCTTTCTTAGTCCCACTCCCACACCCCCTTTTCAGTGCTGGGATGAAACCCAGGACTTTGGGCTTCCTAGGCAAGTGCTCTTTCAGAGCCCTATTTCTTGAGACTTTTCCACCACCTGATTTGGTTAGAAACACAGAACCTCAGGTCCTTCCTCAGCCCAACCCATTGAGAATCTCCTTTCTTTCTTTTCTTTCTTTCTTTCATTCGTTCGTTCGTTCGTTCTTTCGTTCGTTCGTTCTTTCTTTCTTTCTTTCTTTCTTGTACTGGGGATTGAACTCAAGTCAGAACCACTGAGCTAAATCCCCAGCCCGAGAATCTCCTTTTAAAGAAGATTTAAGTGGCTTCATATTCACACTTAAATTGGATTAGCACTTCACCTATGTTTAATACCTTAGGTATTAAGGTAATAGGTATTGTGTTCTTCAGCATACAATAATATATTATTAATATATTAATACAGAATATATGTAAGGTTAAGGAATGTATATCTAACCTACCACCTTTATTAATGAATAGTGTTTTAGAAGGCTGGGGGGTAATTGTAGAAAGTGTTAATGTCTAACACATTTTGAAAGGAAGTGTACTAATATCTGCAGTTTTCTTGAAACATACAAGAATAATGGATTGATTGTTGAGACAGTAATAGATGGAAAGATGTGATGAAGCAGAATCAGGTAAAATAGTGTTGAATCCAGTTGGTGAGTATATGGGTTTTAGGTATAAAAATTTTTTAACTTCTGTGTAAGCTTTTAGTTTTTCATAATGTTGTTTATATAAATGGACATCGTAAACTACCAGACAGATTTCTCAAAGTTCCTTGATAGCCAAGCTTTCACTGTAGTTATCTGTGTTTTTCATATCTTCTGCTTTATTCTATAGATATATTTATTTTAAAAGTATCTGATTTTGAATGTGCCCTGTGTGCCGCACATCTCACTACTGTGTGCATTATCTCATTTATTTCTTAACACAGTAATGAGTTAGTTTTAACTGCAATTTATAGCTAAGAAAAGCAAAACACAGCAGGCCGGGAATATAATTCAGTGGTAGATGTTTACCTAGCATACACAAGACCCTAGGTTCAATCTGTTGCACCACACACACACACAAAGACAGCTAAAAATACATGCATAATCTAGTAAGTTCAAGAGACATATTTTCGGTTTGGGGGAGGTGTTTATTTTTCTTTTGGTGGATGCCAGTGAATCCAGGGATCACCCAAAATCTAGGTCTGGGACATACTAGCAAAGCTCTGTACCACTGAGCTTCATCCCTAGGCCAGGAGACACATTTTGAAAATAGGAACTGTGACTTAATAGCAGATGGCTACCACATTGCATAATTTCATGGGGCACCGTTTGTTTTATTGTTGTTGGCACAATGGAGTATCTTTTCCTTGGAATACAAAGTGTATAGTTCTAGATTATTCATTAAGACTGTTTAGCTATAACCACATACTAGCTTTAACCACATACAGTGAATATTTAAAGAAATTGTATTAGTGAAAGATATCTCGCCATTAATCTCCCTTAAAATAATCCACCATGCTTCAAACACACTTATCTCATCGTTCTTGCCACTTTCTGAAGCAGTTCTGCAAGTCCTCTGTGAGTTTCTTTAGTTGCACTGTTGTGGCTACTTCATTGTCCTTAATTGATTCAAAAATTTTTACCTTTCATGGTGATTTTGACTTTGGGGAAGAGCCAGAATTCTAATGTGCCAGACTCGGTAAATTAGGTGGTTGAGGATACAGTGTAATGTTTTCACGAGCCTGCCTTTCTGTTGGTTGGAACTCAGCAGTGGCATTCATCATACTTTTGATCACACCTCCTAAAGACACTCATAAAAGAAAGCTTCCAGGACTGCTTCAGAGAATGGCAAAAGTGATGGGAAAAGTATGTCTGAGCCAAAGAGGAGTGTTTTGGGAAGGATTAATAGTAATACATCTTTTATTTTAATTTTTTTAATTGAAATATTCACCATATATTTCAATCACCTCATGTGTGGCTGCTTCTTTAAATTCTTAAGTGCAATTTAAAAATATTTTTCTGATGTGAATTTTGATTTATTCCATGACTTTTTCTTGTGTGTTTCATTTTTTAAGATTCTTGGATCTCCCAGTCAGCATCATTTCCCCGTAATCAGAAACAGCCAGGGGTGGATTCTCTATCACCAGTGGCCTCACTTCCTAAACAGATTTTCCAGCCTTCTGCCCAACAGCAATTTACTAAACCAGCTAAAATCACTTGTGCAAACTGCAAAAATCCTTTACAGAAGGGACAGACAGCTTACCAACGAAAAGGATCAGCTCACCTCTTTTGTTCTACCACCTGCCTTTCTTCCTTCTCTCATAAACGTATTCGAAAGACACGAAATATAATATGTAAAAGGTAAGCAGTAACTTTCAACGTTTCTCTATATGGTTGAATACTAGTATATAAGGAAATGTAATTGCAGATTCTTGGGTAGAATTATTTCAGCGGAATCCGCAAGATTATTGAACTTGAGTTAACCTAGAGTGGTGTCAGAGCTGTGGACTAGTTCATATTGTACTTTCTCTTGGCAAGAAAATGGAAGTATATTGCCACTTTCTCTGGCACTGTTTTGCCTCTGCTCTTTTCCTTAAGTTCTGCCAAGTTTCTACCAGCGTTTTTAAATGTTTCAAAAAGCTAAAGAACTCTGTGGCAAGGTTCTTGTGCCACAAAAGATTTTCTTTTACCTCAGAATCTTCTCTTTTTGTATAATTTGGGAATGCAAAGCTTGGAATTAAAAGTGGATTTTGCTACATCCAAAAGTTGTAATTGATTCCTAGGAATAAATCATAGTTAAATGAGAAATGCAGTGTTCTTGGACTCGGTGTAGCTCAGTAATAGAATTCTTGCCTGTCATGTGGCCTTGGGTTCAATCCCCAGCACAAAAGAAAAACAGTGTTCTAAAGTTGTGTATCTGTCCTTTGTGTTTCAGAGATGCACCTACAAAGAAGGCTACTGTTGTTCCTCCAGTGGAATCAAGTAGATCCTTCCAAGAATTTGCTAGTACATCTTTGTCTCTCTGTGAAAACAATCATCATCTTAGAAAAGGAGTTTTTAATACATCCCGATGTATAATCTGTAATAAACTGACAGAGGTCTGGATTTTTTATACCTAAGTTGTTATTTAGGCTAACATAATTTTAATTTTTAAGTGTTATTAATGTAAGCTGTCATCATAGTATGTTAGAACTATTTTATTAACAAATGTCCCATTTGCATAGTCTGGAAAGTATGCATTTGGATTTTTCTTACTTTGTTTTCTTAAAAGATGGCCTGGCTGTGTAGGTCCACCTCCCCTTGGATTCACAATGATCCTCTTGCCTCAGCCTCCCAAGTGCTGGGATTGCAGGTGTGTGCCATTTCACCCAGGCCATTGTTTCTGTACAATTGGTAGTAATCAAACAGTTTTAAGGCCTCACTAAATAAAAATGTAGTTTCAGAGGTGGCCATGGGCCCACACCTGTAATCCCAACACTCTCGGAGGTTGAGGCAAAAAGATTGCAAGTTTGATTCCAACCTCGGCAATTTAGTGAGACCTTGTCTCCAAAAAAAAAAAAAAAAAATGGTCTAGGGAATGTAGCTTAGTGAGAAGGCCCTGCATTCAATCCCCAGTACTGCAAAACTTTAGGAAAAAAAAGTAGTAGTTTAGAACATAGAAGAAGCAGCAGATCCTAATTAATAAGTGTAACAAGTAGAATGAATTTAAACTCTACTATTCATTTCATTTAATTGGTGTCACAGTCGTCCACATTGTTAGAAGAAATGTGCATTCGGGAAGTTGTCGTTTTAAACTGTCCTTGGTGACTAAATTTGAGGTTGGTGACCTCAGAGCTGTGCATGTCAAGGCCCCAGTTTTCTCTCAGCACCTTGAGAACCACCTAGTAAGGTGACGCCATCTGGTTGTGGCTGATGTGCTGACACCATCCTGGTTGTGGAGAATACTGATTTCTCCCACAAATTTTCTTTATAATACTAAGAATTCCCAAACTATTTCTTTTTTTTTTTTTTGGTACCTGGGATCAAACTCTGGACCTTGTGCTTGTGGAGGCAGGCGTGGTGCCACTGAGCTAAATCCCCGGTCCCCAAACTATTTCTTTTAACCGTGTCAAAAACAGTTGATTTTCTGTCATTCTCAACAAATCAGGAAAGTTATTACTGATTTTATTTTTTGTTTTGTGAATCTTGATTTCACAAATTGAAAAGTGAAAGAATAATGACTATGTTTATCTTTTCCCTGAATATTTTTTTCACTGAGATATTACTACTGAATCTTTGTTTCTAGTGCAAAAACTAATTTTTTCATTGCCTATTTTACTAATCTGGTTCATGTATACTAGTTAATAAATTTTGTTTTCTCTTTTAGGTTCACCATGAAGTCAGTGTTAATAATGTAACTCACAAGCTGTGCAGTAACCATTGCTTTAATAAGTACAGGTTGGCTAATGGTCTAAAAATGAACTGCTGTGAACAGTGTGGAGAGTACATGCCTGATAAAAATATGGGAAACAGTATCCTGATTGGAGGTCAGCAGAAGAGATTTTGCTGCCAAAATTGTATTAATGAATATAAACAGGTAATTCTTTTTAATGAACTTTAATTGATGAAGTTACATAATAGCTTATTCTGTTAGCTTACATTATCTAGGCTTATCTTAGAACTCATGTAGTTCCATTTTGTTGTTAATGTTGACCC